CACACACACACACACACACACACACACACAAACACACACACACATGCAGCCAAATTGACTGTCCTCCCAACTCGTACACGGGGCCGGTGGCACAAGGGCAGGGGCCGCCGCCAATGCTGCAAGAGAGGTTTCAGAGTGTCATCAGTCAGCTTTTCCAATATGTGAGTTTCCAGTCAGCGCTCCTCATTCTCTCTCTCTCTCTCCCTCTCTCTTTTTTTTTTTTTTTTTTTTTTTTTAGCGCGCTCCGCATTTTTGTGCTCTGTATATGTATCGGTTCTTGTGTTCCGTATATGTGTCATTGATGCTTAACCACAACTGGGCAACTGGGGTTAAGGCGGATTATCAATTCTGCAGACTGTGAGGGTTCAGCCTACTGACGAGTCGGTGAAACGCGGACGAAAGAGTGTGGGTGTAACAGCCCCTCGTTTGTTGTCCTCTTCTCCCTCTCTTCTCCACCGCTACGATGTATTATATACATACATACATGTACTATGTACACCTAAAATATATGTACTTGTACTGTGTCGACCTAAATCCCCTGATTGACCCTTGTTATGTTTTTTTTTTTGTTTTAATAAAACTTGAAGAGTTTTTGTAAATTTTTAAAGGCTTGAAATTTTTACTATTATTGAATGAAAAAAAAAAATAGTAACTACAGTAAAAGACTTTTTCAGTCTTGTTGACACTTAGCCTTTTTTTTCTGTACTAAGTGTGGCTTCCATGGGTGTTTTGTTTTCCTGAGGAAAAAAAAAAAAAGAAATAGTTAGCACACTTGTTTTTTTTTTTCACGAGGGAAAACAAATGAAATAAAATTGTGTTCAGGGGATGCAGAGGGTGGGTAGTCAGTTGAGGAATCATTCTCATCGTCATCATCATCATCATCATCATTTTCATCATCACCATCCTCATCCCTCCTCCTGATCATTGTACGTTGATTTGAAGTTGGACTGTGCGATGGAGGCATCATCATCATCATCATCACCATCATCGTCGTTGTCATCATCATCATTGTCCCATCATTGCGATCATCATCACCTTCAAGATTTTTTTAGTTTTATTTTGAGGCACATAATAGCCGTATTTGGGGTAACTTTCAGTCTAGATACAGTGGTAAAGACAGGGCGTTCTATTTGGGCAAAAGACGGTAGTTATTGTCTTTTGCAGGGTTTGTGGCTGGGAAAGCTCTCTTTTTCTTTCCTTCTCTGGAAATCAATCTGGACTCTGGAGTCAGTCCGCTGGACCCTGCCACCAGCCCTGAAACTGACCCTGAGTTTATGAGGGTAGGTTTAGGCCTTCGTCATAGAGGGGGTATAGATTCTATAGAACTCATTTTCTTTCGAATTTTGCCAGTTCCTTCGCCCAACCCCTTCCCTTCCTCCCTTTTTTTTTGGTTCATTTCTTATGAATTTTTCTTTTCTTTTTTGTCATGATTTCCTTCTCTTCCCTTCCCCTCCCCTCCCCTCCCCTCCCCTCCCCCCTCCCCTCCTCCCCTGGAAGTGTGTTTGTTAAATTGAGGGTTCAAAACTTCAAATCCCATTGAACACAACTGTAATGGCAAGGGTTATCTCCCAATTAATAATTTAGTGTTTTACTACTTTTTTTATTTTTATTTTTAATTTAGTGTTTTACTAGTAATTAGTAATTAGTAATTACTTATTAGTTCTATTATTAATCAATTGAGAGATTGCATAACTTGCAGTGACCCTGCGACCAATGATGGCATCCTCTGCTGGGCAGTATTCCTTTTTTTTTTTTGGTTMAAAAAATGGCTGCAATCCACTSGGGRGGGGGGGGGGGTTGGGGGAATCGGGCCCAGGGTCCCAGACATGGTGCCAAGGAATTCCTCCGTTTATCTGGTACTCAGTGTGAAATTGTTAGGTACTATGTATGGGACCCTGGGGCCGATTTCCCCTCGTGAATGGATTGCAGCCAGATTAAACCCAGTGTGGAATACAGTGTGAAATTGTGAATCAGCAGCGAGATGTCTGGATGTTACATGCTGCGCCTGCAACAGGCTGCACGGGCCATTTTCAGGCCCGTGTTGTTTTCAGCCTGAAAGCCTGAAAACAAGGGCCTACAGGCCCCGTGTTGTTTTCAGCCTGAAAGCCTGAAAACAAGGGTCTACAGGCCCTGTGTCGTTTCAGGCTAAATCAGGGCCTTTCCAGCCCTGCGTATTTTCAGCCTGAAACTGAGGGCCATTTTCAGGCCCTCGTCAGTTGGACATGCCCTGAAACTCAGGCACCAGACCAGGGTTTTAGCTCATGCCATTTTGGGCCTATTTTCAAGACAACCTTTGTTTGAGCTTCAACCCCAGGGTCTGGCACGTTGAGGCATTGGCAAGAGCAGCCTCCTGGACGGGCCAGCACTATATAAGACTGGGCAGCCCTGCAGGCTGCAGGTAGTGGGGAGGTAGTTCCTAGGTACTTCCCAGGCACTTCACGTGCAGGCAGAAGGCAGGAGGTAGTCTTCAGGATCCAGCAGCAGCACTCTGGAGGAGCGCTGCAGGAGTAGTAGTAGCGTTAGCATTAGTCTTCAGTGCTGGGTGCTAGTAGCGCTAGCTGTAGTCTTCAGCGCTGGGCGCCATAGCAGCTAGAGTAGTGCTAGAGAGAGAGAGATTGGGCGGAGGCCAGAGGTACTTACCTGCAGCGCCGATGCTCCAGCTTCGTCTTTGAGGTACCTGCAGCACAGCGCCAACTTCACAGGTTAGTACCTGGGTCGTGAGAGAGAGAGAGTTCTTCTTCTTCCTCTTCTCAGTCCACCATCTCCTTCTCACCCTCTCGCTGTCCGACTTCACTGCATCAGCAGACTAGGGGAGGGAGAGAGAGAGAGAGAGAGCTTGGGGACATTTGGATCCAGACTTGACATTGGACTTCAGACATTTTGAAGAGGGATTACTTGGCACTTGTAACGAGACTTGGTGTTGACGACTTTTCCCATCTCCCCCTCTCTCTTCTTCGTCTGACTCCCTCCTCTTCGTCTGTGTATGTCTGGACCTGGCGCCTCCTTCCTGTGTGTAGCGCCAGGCCGCCTTCACACCTTGTGATGAGCATGATGTATGTTTGGTCTGCATTGAAACATTGATTGGGCTAGTCCGTAGTATTCTAGCATTCTGCTTTGCTATCTTGTACTACGTGAAAGAAGTCAGTCGCGGTCAGGTCAGGACTTGTATCTAAGTCTTCCACTGCGCTGTAAAGCACCATTTTGTATGTATCCGAATGTACACTGCTTGCTGAGATTTCACTTGCACTGCATTGTCCGTTCAGTCCTTTTCATCACATTGCGGATCCTCTTTTTCGCTTTCGCTGTTCCTCCTCTTTTTTTTTTTTTTTTTTTTTTTTTTTTCTCGCTCGTTTTCTCTCCTTCTCTTCCTCCGTCTTCCTCTCTCTTTTGTCTCTCTTTCTCTCTTTGTCCCTTGCACTTTCTCACTTTTTCTTTCTCCCCTCTTTTGTCTCTCTTTCTCTCTTTCTCCCTTGCACTTTCTCACTTTTTCTTTCTCCCCTCTCCTTCTCTCTTCCTCTCCTTCTCTCTTCCTCTCTTTCTTTCTCTCTCTCTCTCTCTTCTCTCTCTCTCTCTCTCTCTTCTCTCTCTCTTTTTTACACTTTCGTCATGTCTGATGTGTATTGTTGACTACTGTCTTTACCCTAATAGATTGCCCGGTCATTATGGCTGTATCTGGACTGAAAATTGCATCAAATACGGTTATAATGACCGGGCGTTCTATTCGGGTGAAGACGGCAGCTGTTTCCTTCTCCTGTCTAGTATGTGTTGTTGTTAACCAGCAGCCAGATGTGTGGATTTGGTCATACTGTGTACATTCTCTCTCTTTCTCCGCCCCCCTCTCTCTCTTTCTCCACCCCCCTCTCTCTCTTTCGTTCGCCCTGTTTCTCTTTCTCTCTCTTTCTCTCTCTCCCTCTGTGCCTCATGTTCTCGCTTTCTCTTTCTCCATTTTTCTCCTTCTCTCAATTTCTCTCTCTGTGTCTCTCACTTTCACTCTCTCTTTCGCCAACTTTCTCTTCCTCTCTCGATTTCTCTCTGTCTCTCTCTCTGTCTCTCTCTCTGTCTCTCTCTCTCTGTCTCTCTCTCTCTGTCTCTCTCTCTGTCTCTCTCTCTGTCTCTCTTTTTCTCTCTTTATTGTTGGGTAAAAGAGAAAATAACTTTGATGTCGAGCGAATATTTTATTATTTAATATTAAATTAATAATTTATTAATTATCTATGTTTGTTGGTCGTCTTTTGTATTCCCTGTGCGCAGAGGATCATAAGATGTGGAGGGGCCGTTGATGATGACATGGCCAATCTGATTGTGGCTCAGTTGCTATATTTAGATGCTGTCGACCCGAAGAAGGTAGGAGTTTTTTTTTTTTTTTCTTTTTCCTGCGGACCATTTGTTTAGATATTTTGATTTGAAACTTACTTTTTGATGGAGACGGTCTCAAGCTTGAGTAATGATTTCCTCCCCCCCCCCCCCCCCCCCCCCCCCCCCCCCCCGGGGGGCCCGGGGGGGGGGGGGTTGGGGGAATCGGGCCCAGGG